CAGGGACCCCATCTCGGAGGCCTCGCTGCCGCTGCACACAGGTGCCCTGTGCATGGTTATGTAGCCTTTTCCTGCGCAGGCAGCTTCCTGCCACATCCTGGATTCAGCTTGGGCACGTGCTCACAGGGGGACCTTCGGGATTCGGCCTCTGTTGGTGATTTCTGCAGCCCTGCGAATTCCCTCCTGCTCCCACTGGGCATGGCTGTGCCAGGCTGCGGCTCCCTTGCTAGCCGGGCGCTCTCTTCCTGGTCTTAGTTCTGTTCATCACATTCCCTGCGAAGAAGCAAAGCCTGGCCGGCCCGGGTTTCTCACCCGGAGCACCAGCTTTAGCGGGGAGCAGAGCAGCAGCCTCAGAGGTGGAGGGGAAATCACTGTGACTTTTGATTTTCATGGTCATGTAAATTGGTGAAAAAAGTGGGAAGGTGTTCTCCTATACACAATGGCTGGTAAATATAACACGAGGCAGCGGGGGCTCAGCGGTAGAATTCTTGCCTTCCATGTGGGAGACCCGGGTTCGATTCCTGGCCAATGCACCTCATGTGCAGCCACCACCCGTCTGGAAGCTTGCTTGTTGCTGTGATGCTGAACAGGTTTGCTGAACATCATCTTAGTCCACACTAAGATGGACTAAGAAGAAAGGCCTGGCAATCTACTGCCAAAGACTAGCCAGTGAAAATCCTATGGATTGCAATGGTCTGATCTGAAACCCACCATTGAGATGGTGCAGGACCAGGCAGCATTTTGTTCTGTTGTGAAAGAGGTGGGAGCCCTGGTGGTGCAGTGGTTAAGTGCTCAGCTGCTAACGGAAAGGTCGGCAGTTTGAATCCACCAGCTGCTCCTTGGAAACCCTATGGGGCAGTTCTACTCTGTCCTATAGAGTCGCTATGAGTTGAAATCTACAGCAACAGGGGTTTTTTTGTGGGGGGAGGAAGGGAGGGGGTGCATGAGGTCACAGTACATCAGGGGCCGAGTGGACAGGAACTAACAACAGTAAATATGACGGCCGTGCATCTCTCTGAAAAGCTTCAGAAGACATCCTGTAGATACCCAAGAAGCAGAATCAAGCAACAGTGAACTAATCACAGGCCAAGAAGCACAGTGTGGCAGTACCCGTTTGGACGCTAACTGGAACCTGGCTGGATGGTGGGTTATGGGGTGAGCCCCAGGCTCAGGGCCCTCGTCACTGTCCCTCTCAATTCTGCCTTCTTCCCCAGTCTTGGAGTTCTGTGGAGCCCGCGCCTCTCCCCCAAGGCAGCAGTGGATGCAAAGATTGCCAGACCCTCTACAGCACACTACTGTCCCCCACACGGGGCAGAGAATCATGAGGTGGTGTCCTCTCTGCAGACGACTTCAGTCACCAATGTCCGGTGCATGGTCCCAGGAGGGCAGGGGCTTGTCTGTCCAGTACTTCACCGCGGGTACCAGACCCCCTGGGCCCTGGGAGTTGCTCAGCACCCATGAGTTGGAGGAGTGGGTTTTCTGCATGATTACTGGACACTGAATGGTCCACATTTGCGTGTGTGTGTTGGGGAGTTGTCAACACTCTGCCAGAAACAATGGCTGGCCAGCCTCTTGATGCCACCTTTCCTCGTGAGAACCTGGGAGAGTCCCTGACGAGAGCAGGGGGTCAGGAGGGTGAGAGGGGGAGACAGCTCACTCCAACCAAGTATGAAACGTGCAGAAATACACCAACAGGGGCATGCCTGGCGTGGGCTTTGGGATAATCTTTTAAAATTGTATTTTATTTTTAATTTTATCGTGGTGAAAATGTACGTAACAAAACCCACACCATCTGAGCGATTTCTCCATGTACCATTCAGGAACACTGTATTTTTTCTTTTTTCTGTACTTTTCATCTTTTCCCCAGTAAGCGGCAGCATTTTGACCGTCCAAAAAGACCACAAGTAGAGGGGTGTCAACAGAGGTACGCAAAGCCATCACGCTTCTGCAAAGATGTTTACAGCAGAGAGACCGCAAGAAACGCAGGGAACTATTGACTCTGATGACCTCTGGGGTGGTACTTTTCTCCTTTGGGGAATTTTTAGAGTTTCCATAATGAGCATTGTAACAGAAAAAATAAAGTGTATTTTAAGCCATCATTGCTGAGCTCCCGTGAGGGCAAGGCACCCCCAGGCTGCAGTGGAGGGGGCCAGCCTGAATTGGCACCACGCCAAGAGGGAGCCAGTTGCCGTGGAGGCAACCCCTACTCATGGCAACCCCATGTGCGTCAGAGTAGAACTGTGCTCCATAGGGTTTTCGATGGCTGATTTCTTGGAAGTGGATCGCCAAGCCTTTCTTCTGAGGCACTTGTGGATGGACTCGAACCTTCAACCTTTAGGTTAGCAGCCGGGAGTGTTCACCATTTGCACCACCCTTTTAAATTGTGCACCCTCACGCGGCCCCAGCCCTGCCAGGAGTGCAGTGGGGTGCAGGGAGACGTGTCTGAGCTCCAGGTGTCTGCCAGGCGCGACAGTGGTGATGTTGGCGTGTGCCGTTGTCCTTATTGTCACAGCGAACCTCGTCACTGCAAGCTCACACGCCGCCACCGCAGACCCGCTAACGCAGAGTCAACGGTGCCCGTGAACGGCCACCGAAAGCCAGCTGGGTAGGGTGCTCAAGCCGGGAGAGCTGTCCTGCGTGACAGGGTAGTTGGTGTTTCTTTCCGTCTCTGTAGATGATGTGTCGGTTATCACTTGCCACATAACAAATCATCCTTAGACTTAGCAGCTCAATACACACACACACACACACACACACACACACACACACACACACACACTTGTTTCTCACAGTTCCTGTGAGCCAGGAGTCTGGGCACCGATGAGCTGGAACCTCTTACTGAAGTTGGCAGTATTTCTCTTTCTACTCCCAAAGCTGCAAGCTCAGTAAAGTCACCACTCTCTGCAGACATGGAGAGAACAAGTCACCAGGGTGATTGAATGGAAGCTCACAGACCAATGTTACTCAGCACCAAAACCCTCGGAGCGGCAGAGAGAGATACCCACTACGCAGTTTGGATGACATGTGTGGCAGATAGCAAAAGCCGGACAATGAAAAAGGAAAACAGATGAATTGATGCATTGGAACTGTGGTGTTGGCAAAGAATACTGAATATACCATGGACTGCCGGAAGAACACACAAACCAATCTTAGAAGAAATACAGCCAGAATGCTCCTTAGAAGCAATGACGGCGAGACTTCAGCTCACTTACTTTGAACACATCATCAGGAAAAGCCATTGCTAGAAAACGACATCATGGTTGGTAAAGTAGAGGGTCATGGAAAATGAGGGAAGCCTTCCGGAAGATGGGTTGATTGACCTAATAGCTGCAACGATGAACTCAAACATACCAAGGATCATGAAGATGGTGCAAGACTGGTCCATGTTTCCTTCTGTTATACACCAGGTCATCATGAGCTGGAGCTGACTCAATGGCAACTGCCAGGAATTGGGTCCCCCCAAAATATCTGCCAACTTGGCGAGGTCATGATTCCCAGTATTGCATGCTTGTCTACATTTTATCATCTGATGTGATTTCCCTATGTGTTGTAAACTCCATCACTATGATGTAATAAGATGGATTAGCAGCAGTTATATTGATGAGGTCTACAAGATTAGATAGTGTCTTAAGCCAATCTCTTTTGAGATACAAAAGAGAGGAGCAAACACAGAAACACGAGAACCTCATACCACCAAGAAAGCAGTGCTGGGAGCAGAGTGTGTCCTTTGGACCTGAGGTTCCTGTGCTGAGATGCTCCCAGACCAAGGGAAGACTGATGCATCATAAGGACCTTCCTCCAGAGCCAACAGAGAAAGCCTTCTCCTGGAGCTGATGCCTTGAATTTGGACTTGCAGCCTGTGAGATACTGAGAGAGAATAAATTTCTCTTTGTTAAAAGCTATCCACTTGTGGATGACCAAGACAGCAACAAAATTACACGTACACCAGGCTTTTAATTCCATAAAGCAGATATGGGGAAAATATCAGATGAAATTCTAGAGCAATAATAATGTGGTGGTGGAATGAAGCATGATTTTAAACTTTTCTCTCAAAGCTTTCTTTAATATAGTTATACAGCTTTTGCATGGTTTCAAATGATAAAACATTTACACTGATTTAGACCAGTAACAAGGGCTCCAGTTCTAGGAAAGGTCTTCTGGAACCTTCTCTGGGACAGGGGTGTTTCTGGCCACATCTGGATCCCCCCCCTTCCAGTGTGGAGTCTACATACATGTTCTCAGAACCACTGGTGTTCTGCATATATATTTTTTATTCACACTCTTTCACACAGTAAAAAAGGAATTATCTTCTGAAACTATATATTTGACTGAACCGTGAAGACATATTTGCATGGAAAATAACCCGGGAATCCAACAAAGCAGCAGGTTTGAAACATTTAGGCAAAGATGAACATCACTTGTGGAAAGCAGTTAGCGCGGCCATCAGGGTGAACACCGAGATGTATTCCGCACGAAGGCGTTGGGATCGGCAACCACCGAGAAATGATTCAAGGAAATCCGTTTGAGTTACTCTTTTTTTTTCCAGTATTTCCAACTCTGCTGCGGTTTTGTTCTACGGTGAGAGCTATGGTCCACTGTAAGCAAATAAAAATACTCCTGAACTTGTGAAAAAATAGGAAAAATCGAATTCTTCCTTAGCTGAGTAGGATGCCGGGTCAAAGCTGTTCCAGGGAATAAAGGCTTTCTTTTTCAGGATGGTTCTAGAGGGAAAGGACCCTAAACCAGGCTCCTGTGACTCACTCCCAAGTTGGAGCCGCACCCCCAGCCCTCTGCTTGGATTGCCCCAGCCCAGCCCGGCCCCTCCCTGCCCCTGCCCACTCCTCCTCCCTCGCCCCTCCCTGCCTCCCTTCCTTCCTGGGCTGTAACTCCAGCCGCTGCAGGAGAGCAGAAGACCGCCTCTCGCCTGTCTCTCTCCTCGCCCTCTCCTCTCTCTGGGCTGAGCCTACCTTCGCTCGCTACCTTCTCTCGTGCAGTGGGGACCCGCGGCCAGCGACATGAGGCTGGCCCGCGCTCTGCTCCCCCTGCTGCTGCAGGCCTGCTGGGCCACCGCCCAGGACGTCCCGGCCAACTCCAAGGCCATTGCATTCCAAGGTGAGTGGGCTTGCCCCATCTTTGCCTCGGGGCTTTCTGCCGCAGGGAGACTAGTTCCCGGACCAGACACAGCCTGGACATTGCTGGTCGAGCAGGACCTCATCATGCTTCCCGTTTCGTGGGAACTGCAGATGAAGGGGCTTGTGGGGGTGCTGATGGTGTCTCCCCATCCCTAGGAAGGCCTCTGTACTGTGTCCCCTTTAGTGTCTCTGCTGTTGAAGGGATGTTGGGCTGGACGGGATGGGGGGACCCACCAGCAAGAAACAGCAACATCATTCTAGTCTCAGCTTTTTCTGCTTTGCGTGGACTTGGCCTCATCTTCTGCCCAAAGGTCACTGTGCTGGCCAAGCACTGTTCTTCACAGCTCAGTTAATTCCATTTGATTCCTTGCCTGGCAGTCAATGGTGGAACATGCTCACCAGTTCCGATCACACCTTTATTCTGAAGATTATGCCCCTGGTAGTTTTGAAGTTGATTTGAAAACTTCCTGGGGAAAAAACGGTCTTATTTGTTGTCAAGTCCATGGGGACTGGGACATTCCTACTCTCCCGGAGGTTTGGGTGTAAGACAGGCGTTCTGACTCCAAGCCGGGCAGACGGGAGACAGAAGCAGGGGTCTGTCGTCCTCAGCCCCTCCCGTCTCCTCTGCTAGAGGTGGGTGCTTTTGCTGTTGAGGGTGTGATTGTGCAGCTGGGAGGGGTGACAGTAACTCACCTGCCCAGGGAGCCTGGACAGCGCTGTGGCTGGGGGGTGGGGGGTGGGAGGGGCAGCCAGCGGGACTCATCTGGGCGAAGGTACAGGGGCAGGAGCCTGAAGCCCCGCTTTTTCCCACCTGTGCCCAGACTGCCCGGTGGACCTGTTTTTTGTCCTGGACACCTCGGAAAGCGTGGCCTTGAGGCTGAAGCCCTATGGGGCCCTGGTGGACAGGGTGAAGGCCTTCACTAAGCGCTTCATCGACAATCTGAGAGACAGGTAAGAATGGAGCACACCTTGACAATCTCTCCTTCTGCATTGCTACCGAGCCTCTCAGAGAGAGGCGGAGGGGCCCAGGAGAACTTCGGCCTGGTGTCACCTCACCACTGCCCAGCAGGGCGAGCCCAGACCCAGCTTCGCCATCTGAGAAGAGAGCATGTTGGCCATACAGATCCAAGCTCCCTCCCTAGGTCCAAAGTAGTTCCGAGGGGCGAGAGTAACATGAGTTCCACACGTCCCTTGAGGCTGCAGAGCAGTGACAGTGTCCCCCAGTGAGGACTAGTGGGGACCGTGCTGAGACTGGGGCTCAGTATCCCCAACGCACAGCCAGAAAAGGTGGCTTTCTGTCAACAAATGGAACAGGTTCAGTAACTCAGCAAGAACCCGGTGGAGCATGCAGTTCAGCCTGCTGGCTGCAGAGGGCGCCCCTCTTTAACACCTGGACAGGATGCCCACGTGAGTGGGTTAAATCCCCTTCCCCACCAGATGCCACCAGCTGGAGGGGCTGGAGGGGCTGGAGGGGCTGGTGGGCCTCACTCAGCTCTGGGAGAGGCAGAAGTTCTAGGCCTCTGGAACCAGAACTAGACAAGGCTGGGTTCTGGGATTGGGACGTGGCACATTCATTCATTCATTCATCCATCCATCCATTTGTTTACTTGCTCGTCCATTCATCCAACGAATCCACACAAGCCCCAGGTGTAAGCCAAGCTGAGGGGTACAGGGAGGCATGGACCAGGGAGCTCTGTCTGGTGGGCACTGGGTGCAGCTGGGGACACGGATACACCCACCCTGGGCCGTGGCGGGAGGTACTCTAGATTCCCTCACCTGTGATAAGGGAGCCCCCACTACATTGCAGTCGGTGTGGGGGGCACACACAAGGGCTCGGCCAGTGCCAGCCCTCCCATCCCTTGCCCTGTCCATTATCACTGACTGGAGCCATGAGGGGTCCCTGAGCCTCCTGCCCTCCGGAAGAGGCCACATGGACCAATCATCCCTTCCACCCCTGAGGGGATGCCCTGCTCAGGACGCTTATGGGATCAGAAGCCCCAGTTGACCTGAAATGCCCACGTCCATGAGGGCCTCATGGGATGAGACGGGTTGGAGATGGGGTTGGGTGGGGCCCGGATATAGTCGGGCCTAGGAGATGTCAGGAGGCCTGCAGCAGCTGTGTGGGCCTGCCAGAGCAACCCCTCTAGATGCCCTTGGCCCATGATTGGCTTCTCTGGCCCTGTTTCCCCATCTGTGAAATGGGGTCTGACTGTCTGCTCTTAGTTTGCAGAGTGGGCAGAAGAGGCAGGACCACCCCAGGCCCCGGGCAGAGCAGACAGGTGCCTGGGAGGCTGGGGGAGGGGCCGGCTGCACCTGGACCTGGCAGCAGGAGGGGGCACCCTGGGCCTCGCGCAGAGTGAAGGGCTTATACCCGATACGGCCACATCAGGGTCCCACTTGGAACTCGCCTGCCTTCTGCCTGTCACCACCTGCAGATCCGTCCACGCAGAGTCTGTCCCTTCTGCCCCCTCCTGTGACCCCGGCCGTTCCCCTGCTCCAGATGTTGCCCAGGGCTCCGCCTTAGGTCCCGGGAGATCTACCTGTCGCTCCGCTGGCTGAGGCCCGTCCTCCAGGCCCTGGACCCCCACTACCCGTGTCATCTCCCAGGGCAGGGCCCACGCTTTCCGGGGCTCACGCCGGCCCGTCCTTCTCTGCCCCAGCGAGAAGGTGGCTCTGACCCCGAGCAATGAGGCCAGGGTGGCGAATTTCGTGGGGTGCGCAATGGAGTGCCGCACGGTGGATCCCAGCATCGCGCTCATTTGTGCTGGGGGTCTCGGAAGCCCTCACTCCCCCCTCACTCGTGCCACCCCCATTCCATCCGTGGCCCGCAGGTATTACCGCTGTGACCGCAACCTGGTGTGGAACGCAGGCGCGCTGCACTACAGCGACGAGGTGGAGATCATCCGCGGGCTGACGCGCATGCCCAGCGGCCGCGACGCGCTCAAGGGCAGCGTGGACGCAGTCAAGTACTTTGGCAAGGGCACCTACACCGACTGCGCCATCAAGAAGGGGCTGGAGGAGCTGCTGGTCGGGTGAGTGGGCGGCTCCCTCGGGGGCCTTCCGCATCCCCGGCCCCTCCCCACGTGGCTCCCCCAGCCCTCTGCCCTTTCCTGAAGGGCACAGACCTCCCTCCCCTCTGGGAGGCTGCACAGCCTCTGGCTTCCCTTGACCCATTTCGTGACTGGGTGAACGGTGGCCAAGGCAGGGCTGAGTGACTGTCCCCTGGCACACCAAGTGGTGCAGAGAGAAAGAGACAGAGACAGAGAGAGGGACAGAATAGAGACACACAGAGACAGAGTGAGACAGGGACAGAGAGAAGAGAGGCGGCGAGATGGGTTGTTCCCTGATGAAGGCGCTCGGTGCTGCTGCGAGGTCAGTGCGCTGAGTTGGTGGTGGTGACCGTCCACAACAGTGGGGATGGACATCGCGGTTAATCCAACAAGAGGATTAATCTGTGGCTGTACAGTTCATCCCAGCCACCGTCCCCAGTGCCCCCCTCCCCTGTGGTGGGCAGATTTCCAGCCGTCCGCTCCGCCGCCCTGTGGTGGGGCGGAGGGGGGGTCCCATGGTCCTCAGATGGGGTTATGGCCTTAAGTGGGGACAGGATCCCAGGGGAGGACGGAAATGGATCTGCATGTCCCACAGCCCAGCTGAAGGCTGGGAGCTGTTGGGGAGGAAGTTGCCAAGTGTTGGCAGTTTGTCTGCAATTAACCTGATCACGTGGTTCTGTCTCATGACGCAGGGGTTGGGGCCCATGGGGCTGCGTCACCAGAGAGCTGGCTGACCTGCTCTGGGCTAGAGCATGGAGGAGGTGCCTTCGCGGCATCTTTCCTATTGGGAGGAGATTCCAAAAATTGATCCGTGGGTGCTAAGTCTTACTTTCTTAGTGCTGCTATAACAGAAATACCGCAAGTGGGTGGCTTTAACAGACAGCAATTTGTTTTCTGACAGCTGTGGGAAGCTAGAAGTCTGAATTCAGGGCACTGGCTCTAGACGAAGGCTTTGTCTCTCTGTCTGCTCTGGAGGAAAGCCCTTGTCTCTTTTGAGCTTTTGTTCCTCAGTCCTGGGCGATCTTCATGTTGGGTGACACCTAACTTCCCCATCTGTGCTTCCTTTTCTCTGTGCCTGACTCCTTTTATATCGCAAAAGTAATTGGCTGAAGACACACCCCGCACTGATACGGTCTCATTAACATAACAAAGAAAACCCCATTCCCAGATGGGATTACATCCACAGGTATAGGGGTTAGGATTTACGACACATATTTTGGGGGAACACAATTCAGTCCTTAACAGAGAGCATTCTCATGGGGTGTACTTGCTTTCATATGTCCCCCCAAATATGGAAGAACATGGCCAAGTGCCAGTGCCCCTATGACAGGGATGACACCTGGGTGCTGGGAGAGCACCTCCATCTGAACCGAAGTGACATTTGAGGAAGGCCAGCCAGGTGCTGTGTCCATGAAGACGGAGGGTGGGCTTCCCTGACCCGGCTCAGGCTCGCCCCTCGGCTATGCTCAAGACAACACAGTTCAGTGTAAAATCATATCAAAGTCAGAATAGCTGGCTTTGATTCATTTTGTTTTTCAAATACATTTTCCAGGCTGAAGGGTTGCTTCTCAGAATGTCCCAAATTCTTTCCCTACAACAGCAGTGGGGTGGGGGGTGGGATGATGGACAAAGCCACGCCTCTTATGGCTGAGTTACCGGGAGGAGAGTGTGACCTCCCTGAGGCTGCACCCACCCCAGAAATGGCATAGTCACACCAAGGGAGCTCTGAAGGCAAGACGAGGTGGACGCCAGGGCTGTCTGTCCACCACTCAGCACCCGTTCGCCCCTCGGCTGGCCTTGGCTGAGCTGCAGAGTGAGACCGGTGCTGGCAGGGGGAGGCGCCAGGAGGAGTGAGTGCAGGAGGAGAAGGTGCGGGAGGGGGAGGAGGAGAAGGAGAAAGAGGAGGTGCGGGAAGAGGTGTCGGTGTCTACGCCCGTCTTTCCCTCCCTGTTTGGTCTGGAAGAAGCCCCAGTGTGTCCAGCATGGGGCTGGAAGGGACAAGCTTCCTTTGAGACTCAGTGAGTCTCTGTCACTTCAGAGTTCACAAGGAGCCACGGAAGTAGGGGTGCTGAATCCACAGGATGAGTCCAAGTCCCTCTCTTTTGTCTTGTCTTTGCAGAGGGTACTTTGACAGTGGTGTGTTGAGATGAGATCTACGCTGCTGGGTTTAGGCATACGGCAGGAGGACTTGAGAGCGTGGCCACATGTGGAGTCCATCCAGAGAAATACTGCCCACCCTAAATAAACAGATGTGCATTTATCCTGAAAATACTCTTAGGGCGTTTCTGTGTGGGCCAGGAAGAGGCTACACGCCATCTGTATTTTCGGTTTTCATCCTATCCCCTTATTCTAAACATTTTTTCTTGAGAAGAGGCCCCATTTTATGTTTGGGGATGGTTTGTATTTGAGGCTATCTGTGGATTATCCGGAAACCTTGGTGGTGTAGTGGAAGAGCTATGGCTGCTAACCAAAAGGTTGGCTGTTTGAATCCACCAGGCACTCGTATGGGGCAGTTCCACTCTGTCATATAGGGTTGCTATGAGTCAGAATTGACTCGATGGCTATGGGTTTGGTTTTGGTTTTGGTTTTGGTTTCATGGATTATCCTGTTATTTTCTTATCACATCCACTTCCCACAAAAATAAATGGTGCCTAAGCAATCATCGGAAACCCTGGGGGTGCAGTGGTTAAGAGCTACAGCTGCTAACCAAAAGGTCAGCAGTTCCAATCCACCAGGCACTGCTTGGAAACCACATGGAGCAGTTCTTCTCTGTCTTGTAGGGTCGCTATGAGTTGGAATCCACTCGACGGCAAAGGTTTTTTTTTTTTTTTTTTTTTAAAGCAACCATCATTTTCAGCAATGTACTGATAAAATCAGCCAAACCAGCAGCTCAGCCAGCATCACACATTTGCTGGTTAATTACATCATCACTCCATACCCTGCACATCAGGAATACAGGGCCCCCAGGAGGCGAGTGTCCTCGCGGGTTCGTCCCTGCTGTGAGGCCCTGTGCCTCTTTCTCCTGGTATACATGCGTGTTTAGATCATTTGTACAGAGATGTGAGCCGACAAAACTTTTATTTTCTGTTTTAAAACCCTTTCTGTAATCTTCAGTAGGTAGCCAGGATCAACAAAGAGAAACAGAGTGTCCAAATGTAACAGAGCCAAAGCCATGTTGGAAAGCTGCAGGGGCCTCCCCTGCCGCTGCCCATCACCCCCTTCCCTGGGGGTCGCTGCCTGTGGTTCGCTTTGAGGACTCTGCACGGGGCGGGGGGGGGGTGCCCCGAGCCCTCAGGGTCAGTCTGGGCAGGAGATCCTGGCGTCAAGGGCAAGTCTGACTGTGCCCCACCGTTTCCAGGGGCTCCCACCTGAAGGAGAACAAGTATCTGATCGTGGTGACAGATGGGCACCCCCTGGAGGGTTATAAGGAGCCTTGTGGCGGCCTGGAGGACGCCGTCAATGAGGCCAAGCACCTGGGTGTCAAAGTCTTCTCAGTGGCCATCACGCCCGACCACCTGGTAGGACCCTGCTGTGCTCCCATGCGTCCCCACAAAGCTGAGGCTGGGGGTGGGGGTGGCCCAGAATGAGGTCTGCAGAGAAGACAGGCGCCCCTCATCTGCATGAGACTGAGCTGACTACAGGCTCCGCTGCCCTCCGTGCACCCTCCCAGCACATGTTCAGGGTCTATCTCAAGGGTTCCTACCTCCCCAGGACCCCTGTGTGTCTCCCCGGGGCAGGGACACCCTCGAGCAGGCCAAGCCCTCGCAGGCCTTGTGCACGGGCTCCATGTATCAGGACCGTGAGACCCCCAGAGGGTCAGGGTGCAGGTCGGGCTGGGCCAGTGGGGTATCCCAGGGTGGCAGGACCACTCCCAGGCTGTGGCCCTAATGTCCCCTCCTCGTCTGGCTCACACCTGACGCAGGAGCCCCGGCTGAGCATCATTGCCACAGACCACACGTACAGGCGCAACTTCACGGCGGCCGACTGGGACCAGACGAGGGATGCAGAGGAGGCTATCAGACAGACCATCGACACCATCATCGAGATGATCGTGAGTGCCGCCCGCCCCTGCGCCGTTTGTCTGGAACTCTGGAAATTTCTGTGGCCACAGGTGGAAATTAATGTGACTTTTCCTTCTCACTTTCCAGAAAGATAATGTGGAGCAAGTGGTAAGAAGCCCCACCTCACCCCCTATCACAAGGTGGTCTCCTGCCCCCTTCAGCTGCCCCGGGCCTTACCCTACCCCTCACCTCCACCCCCACCCATGACCTGGGTGCTGCTGGGGTCATGGTTCACGTCTCCCCGAGCCCGCCAGAGTGCAGCAGGTGTTGGGGGGCCGTCTGTGCCCCCCAGTGTCTGACGCACGGCTTCTGTCCCCCCACAGTGCTGCTCCTTCGAGTGCCAGGTGAGTGTGGGTGTGGACGCCCTGGGGCCTGGGGCCGTCCTGACGCGTTCATGGACTGACCGTCTCTGGTGTCTTGCAGGCTGCCAGAGGACCTCCCGGGCTGAGAGGCGACCCCGGGTACGAGGTGAGTGGTCGTGTCAGCTCCGTGCTTAGGTCCAGGGAGAAGGGTCGCTGCATACTCAGGTCCAGGGTGCAAGGACAAGGCAAGACCCCAGCACCTGGTGCCCACCCCATGCTGGGCTGTGCATAGGGGGCGGTGAAGGAGCCTAACATCCAGGGAGATGCCCCTGAACCTGGGGTGGGGTGACGGCTGGGTGCAGTGGAGCTAGGGCGACTGTGGCCATATGGAGTGTGGCGGCCCCCAGGCCTGCCCAGAGGTCTGACCCACCCAGCCCCCTTCCTGGTGGTCAGGAAGCGGGAGAAATGTGGGGTCCGTGGTAGAGGCCCTCTGAAGGGAACTCTCCACACACCATGGACCCGCACCCTGTCTCCAGCCGGGGCCTGCTGGTGGACAGGACGGAAATGAGGGTCCTGTTTTCACAGCTTGGGAGATGGCACATCCAAGTCCAGGTTTCTGGGCACTCGGTCTGGGTGGCCAGGGTCCCCCCAGAGGCCTGAGTCTGGCTAGTGGGGGGTAGGTCTTTGGTCTGGGGCCCTGGGTGGGGGTGGAGACACGTGGCCCTGAGCTCTGACTCCAGCACAGGCGGAGAGTGGTGCTGACCATGACTGAGTCACAGAAACCGTGGCGACAGAAGGAGCATCATGTAAAGAGCCTTCCCGTGTGAGGAAGTCGGGGCTCCCTCACTGGCTCCACCTGTGTTTTGTGTTCCAGGGAGAGCGTGGGAAGCCAGGGCTCCCGGGAGAGAAAGGAGATGCTGGAGACCCCGTAAGTGCTGAGCGGGAGGGGGGATGAGGGGCCTGGGGCATGGTGAATGGGGCGGGCAGGGTGGGCCGAGGAAGCTTCTGGATAGATGGCTGGCTTCCGGGTGCCACTCTGCCGTCATGGGTGGGAGAGAACGGGGATGCAGGCACGGACCCCTCCTTCCAAAACTCGCAGGCCTCCAGACGGGCCCTGCCTGCGCTCAAGTGGGGGATGTGGCCAGGTGGAGCCCACCGCAGAGAAACAAAGTCACAGGGGCCTCTGCTGCAGGCCTGCGCCTGTCTCCCCACAGACTGCCCCCATCTCCTCCTGGGTGCCCCTGATGCCCCCAGGTCCTCCTGGGTGTCTTTGATGCTCCCCCAGCTCCTCCTGAGTGCCCTTGACCCCTCCAGCTCTTCCTGGGTACACTTGACCCCCAGCTCCTCCTGGGTGCCCTTGACCCCCCACCTCCTCCAGGGCACCCCTGTGGCCTGACCACTGGCACCCCCAGGCCCCTGGCGGCCTCTCCTTTGGTGAGGGCTCCCAGATCACAGAGCCAGCGCTCTCGCCCGTGCCCTGTGTCCCATCATCCGACTGGAGTCCCCCCTTGCCCCAGAGCGGGCTTCCCTGAGCGGAGCGAGAGGATAGGCAGGCTGAGGCCCAGGGTCCGCCTGCCCCTCCGAGGTGTCTGACGTGCCCCCCCCACCCCCGTTGCAGGGAAGGCCCGGGGACCTCGGACCTGTCGGCTACCAGGGAATGAAGGTGAGTGCCCCCCGCCACCCCCGAGGAGCTCCCGGGGCCGAGCTCCCAGGCCAGCTCTCACAGCCCCCTCTTCTGTGTCTTGGTGTCTAGGGAGAAAAAGGAAGCCGTGGAGAGAAGGTGAGAGGGACGCAGGGTCTGAAGCCTCCCTCTGGTCTTGGGGGCCTGTGCCCCCCCAGCACGGGCAGGTCTGGGGACGTGGCCTCGGTGGAGAGGTCTGGGGACATGGCCTCGGTGGAGAGGTCTGGGGACGTGGCCTCGGTGGAGAGATCTGGGGACGTGGCCTCGGTGGAGAGGTCTGGGGACGTGGCCTCGGTGGAGGCCGCCCCGCACTGAGCTGCCAGCACGCCAGGTGCCTTCGCACCTGGACGGTCATGCCGACGCCCTGACCCATCGCTGTGAGGCCCTAGCAGGGGTGCAGGGTCGGGGGACGTGGCGGCGGACCTCCTCTCGCCATCCCTCCCCTCTTGCATCTGTGGGGGGCCAGGCCAGTTACCTGGTGAGCTGCGCCCTCGAGCTTTGCTGCCGCCATCTCTGGGGTCACAGTGGCACTGAGACATCAATGCTACCACCTGGTGGTTCCCGGAAAACTCCCAAGCATGGGGACTTTGCGGAGCTGTACCTTCCTCCCTCCCTCCTTCCCTGGTTTGGGGACAATTTTGACCTCTCTGCAGTGGGCGCCCTGCCATTGGGACCTGCCCCCTCTGTGAACCTGACTGGGGTTTCTTTACTGGCCCCAAACTGGGCCAACCCCAGGTGGGGGTTCTGCTTGTGGGTCCAGGCCTGCCTCACTGTCCTTCCTGTGTCCACAGGGCTCCAGGGGACCCAAGGGCTACAAGGTGAGTTGCGGGTCAGGGACGTGAGTGGGCAGGTTGAGGACATGGGTTTTGTCCTCGGGTGGGTGCTGTGCACCCTTGTCTGACCTTGTCTTTCATTTCCGTGCCTTGCAGGGCGAGAAGGGCAAGCGAGGCATCGATGGTGTGGACGGCATGAAGGTAACCCTAGCTGGCGGGAGGCGTAGATGGTATGGGCGCAGGGACTGTGGACAACACCAGATCCTGGCCCCGGGGTGAGCAGGTGTGGGGTTAACAGCATGGCATGAAGGCAGGAAGAGTTTCTTGTGTCTATTTCCTGCAAATCCCCAGGTCCTAGTGGACCCCAAGCTGCCCACCTAAGCTCAGAGCATCTTCTGGGCTGGTGGGCTTTCCCGAGAGGGACACTGCAGAGGGATGAGTGAGCAGAGCCAAAGGGTTTGAAGGGAAATGCCCCTTAGCTTGTGGCTTCACGATCTTGTTTCTTTCTTTCTCCCAGGGGGAAGCCGGGTACCCAGGGCTGCCTGGCTGCAAGGGCTCACCCGGATTTGATGTAAGTCCTTCACTGTCCTGTGCACTTTCAGGGGTGATCACTGACTCACTTACTTTTTCTAACACTGAGAGGTCACCCCAGGGTCACAAAGCGCGCACATTCCACCTTTTAGTAGATCCGTCTTTAAATTTGGTTTGCATTTGTGTGCGCCCACTGGGATGCTCTGGGAGGCTGCGCCAGCTTCTGCCCATGTAACAGTGCCATGATGCCGTCTTTTCACAGGGCATCCAAGGACCTCCTGGGCCCAAGGGAGATCCTGGTGCATTCGGACCGAAAGGAAGTAAGGTCAGTGACCTGTGTCCGTTGGGGCTGGGAGGGGCAGGGGGCCGCTTTTGCCCACCAAATATTCAATCAGGGATTCAAAGCAGATTCTCTGCCTACAGTTTAAGGGATGGGCGCCAGCCAGCCCGTCAGCCTGGCTGCACCACATGGCCTCTGGAGGAGGAAATAGCAGAGGTCACCATCCTTCATGTGGGCAAGGCGAGGGGCACAGCTTTGGGTGCCAGGATAGGACAGAGTTATGGATCAATTCGCAGGCCATGCTCACCCACATTGTTTAAGCCCCAGGGAGAAGGGGAGAGACCCAGGAGAAACCCCTTCCCAACTGCTGGAGGGATTTCTGCACAGGCCCGTGGCTCAGCATGCTGGTCCCCGAGCTGTTTAAGAGCGTGATGTTGGTGGCTGCAGTAGGCAGACAGGCTCAGCATGAAGAGAGAGCTTTTTAAGCGTCAAGTCCAAAGCTGAGTTCCTCATTGCTGGCGTTTTCTTCTGGGGTTTTCTATCACAACAGAAAGTGTCAGGGAAGATGAAGGAAAAGTGATGTCAGCTCTTCCCCAGATTTGAGGAGGATTTCCTGGAATCCAGCAAAATGGCTTCAGAATCTCATCTGAGCGTTCACAGATTACCCTGTGGGCCTGGATTCGAACTTGCCAGTTCACCACTTTGGCAAAACTGCACCTTCAGTAATAAAAACTTGAGTTTTACCTCTTAAAATAGAACAGTTGCCATGGAGCCAACCCCAGCTCATGATGACCCTGTGTGTGTCAGAGCAGACTCTACTCCAGAGGGTTTTCAGTGGCTGATTTTTGGGAAGGAAATTGCCTAGTATTTCTTCCAAGGCACCTCTGGGGCTGGACTTGAACCTCTAATCTATTGACTAGCAGCTGAGAGCATTAACTGATTGCACCACCCAGTTATAAGGGGTATTTGGCAAATGGTTGAGCTCTTGGCTTTTAACTGAAAGGTCAGCAGTTTGAACCCATCCAGAGGTGCCTTGGAAGAATGGCCTGGCAATCTGCTTCTGAAAAATCAGCCACTGAAAATTCTATGGTGCACAGTTCTACTCTGACACACGTGGGGTCTCCATGAGTTGAGGTCGCCATGAGTTGGGGTCAACTCCATGGCAACTGGTTAATAGTTAGCAAAGTTAAAATATTCAGGCAAGTTTTTGTGTAGAAATGGGTGGGTGGGGTCTTTGGGAGCCAGAGGTGCAGGTGACCATTGGTCAGACAGAGTGGCCTGGAGCTGGGGTGAGGGGGAGCAGAGCATGCAGGGGCCAGCCTGGAGCCCTTAGTCCCCCAGGACAACCCTGGACGTGGCCTCTTGGAGGTGAGACGACCCCCACCCCTGCAGGTTGTACACCAGCCCTCAGAGCCCCATAGAGACCACCGATCACACCCTGGAGTGAGCGTCGGTAACCATGAACCTCTCTGCTCTCTCCCAGGGCGAGCCTGGTGCGGACGGGGAGCCCGGGAGGCCGGGGAGCACGGGGCCCCCTGGAGACGAGGTGAGGAGTGGACAGCCCAGGGGCTGGGTCCCCGCAAGGGACAGTGTGTGAGCCCAGGCTGTGCGCCAGGCCAGGGGTCAGAGAGGAAACAGTCCTGTCCGTGTTCCCACTCTAGGGTGAGCCGGGAGAGCCAGGTCCCCCAGGAGAGAAAGGAGAAGCTGGGGATGAGGTAAGCAGCGCCCCAGTGCGGTAAGCAGCGTCCTCCTGCTCAGGACCCCCAAGACTGCACACAGTCTCCCACTGCAAACCCATGCTTGTCTGTTCACCTTCTTTGCAGGGGGACCCGGGACCAGACGGACCCCCCGGGGAGAAGGTGAGTGCCGGGTGGGGTGGCACTGGGCTGCACGCTCTGTCCCTCCCATTGAGCCCCACCAGATTCGTTCATCTGGTGCTGACAAACCCCAGAGAGCCCCCATTACACACAGTTCAAGCCACGGGGGTTTCTTTGTGTAAAAAAGTCTCTCCCAGGACTGCGTTCACAGCGACTGGTTGGGCAGCAAAAACCTCCAGCTAGTGACTGGGTGGTTTTAATCCTATGAGGAGTTCCTGGAGGTGCGAAGGGTTAACACAGGTGGCTGCTAACTGAAAGGTTGGAGGTTCGAGTCTACCCAGAGGTACCTCGGAAGAAAGGCCTGGCAACCTACTTCCAAAAAAATCAGCCATTGAAAACTCTGTGGAGTCAAGTCGGCAGCGCCTAGGTGGTTTAAATCCTGTGAACCAGTGGTGTGGACTGGCTTTTGGGTTCTTGTGGGCACACACAGACTCAGGGACTCTGGAAGTAGGTGGACCCTGATGAACAGGGAGACCCTGGTCTCTGAAATGACGGGGTGTGAGGTGGAGAGGTGGTACCAGTCCTGGGGTGTCCTGTGGGGTGGGGGAGGTTGGCCAGGGTCTCCAGGCCTGGGATCCCCAGTACCTGCTGCAGCCCTCCCCGCCTCTCCACACAGGGCAGCCCTGGAGAAGTGGGACCACAGGGGACGCCCGGCCTGCGGGGCCCCAGAGGAGACCCGGTAAGTCACGTTTCTAAAGCAGGGGCTCCATCCCTGGGGGGCACTGGGCAGAGACTGGGCCATCAGAGCAGCAGGGACCACACGCTCACCTTCTGTTTTCCCAAACAAAGGCAGTTCTCCCAGGGGCAGGGGGTTCAGGGTGAGACCGCTGACTCTGAGCAACGCCCCTGGCTCCGGCCACCTCAGAGGGCCACCTGGCTTGAAGGAGCAGGGAGATAGTCTTGGCCAAAAGTTCAGAGATCAAAGGTCAACACAGAGTGAGGTGACCGACCCCCGTACCCTGCAGATACCCACGAGGAGCCTGCTTCACCCAGCACCAACCCTGTTTGCCCAGCAGAGACCCGATTTCAGGTTGCACGGAGGAAACCCATAGCCTAATTTTAAAAGAATTATTACATTTAATTTTAAAAAATTAACTTAAAATTACACCTAGTCATAACAGCTCAGTTTGCTTTGTGATCCCTTGTCCGTGTGTAAAACACAGTCCAACGAGGTTGTGATTGTTGGGTGCGCACCCACCGGTTCTGTGTTTCCAAGCCCACGCTTTCTCCTCAAGCTACAAAGTCTCTGTGTTTGTCACTTATCCAGCCACACGAGTTTACATGCAGGACGCAACACAGTTTACTCCGCTCGTTCCCCAAACACCACTCATTTGCTATTTTCTAAACCATTGCATCCCCACCCGTGCAACTCCATAAACACTTCTGCAGATGGAGCCTGCATTCTTCTTTGGAATCATATTCCTTTGTTGAAATTTCAAGAGTGGGGATGATGGGTCAACCCCTAAATGGGAGGATAGGCCAGCAAGCTGCACCAGCAGGACTGCAAGCTGTCAATATTCATCACGATGGTCTGAGCTCCCCCACACAGGGCGGCCCCACAACCCAGCCCAGAAGCCTGGAAGCCCAGAAGCACAGCAGGGCTCTCTGCCCATGATCTGGGGGGAAAGCTTTGCTGGACCCAGAGGGTGGGTGGCCAGGCAGACCCCCAAGCCCACCCTGCCCACCCTGGGAGTGCCACGCACCGTGGTGGCTGAGAGGCAGGAGAGACTGTCCTGTCTGCGAGGCTGAGTCACAGGGCCGCAGTGGCAGTGCCAGCCCCTCTCCTGTCCCGCTCATCCACCCACTGTGGACCCCAGCAAGGTCCCTGTCCCACCAGGGCTCCTGAGAACAGGACCCCCTGGCCCTGCAGAGTGCCCAGGATGGGCCATGGGGTCCCTCTCACCAGGACCCCTCGGGCTGGTGGAAACGCCCCCTGAGGCCATGGTGGGGGGGTACAGGAGGGGGAGCAAATCACTGATTGGTGGATGGTGATCCCAACCAAGAGCCACAGGGGGGACTTGGCTGTAGCTGAGGTAGAGGCTTAGTGACCCCTCCCTGCTCCCTGTGGTTCCCCAGAACCTCCTGTCGGGGGAGGCACCCCAGAGCTGGAGTAACGAGGCCTTTGAGCCCCCTAACCATGCCCCCCCTAAGATCAGGAGATGGAGTTAGTCTGGGCCCAGAGAAAGGGCAGGGGCTGAGGCACCAAATGCTCAGCCGGTTCCTGAACCTCAGAAAGTGAGAAAGCGGGGCGGCCAGGGGACAAAGGTGTGAACCTTTGAAGCTGCCCCTCAGGTGCCCTGATAAAAGGTGGATCTGGTAAAACGTGGACCGTCGAGAGGAGGGGCTGCCGCCTGGTGGTCTGTCTGACGGCGACAGAGCCCCGCCCTACAGCAACCCCCCAAGGGGCTCGTGCTCCCCCAGCGAGCACAGGCTGTGGCATGTGGCCATGCAGCTGGACCTGACACTCACAGGGCATTTCTCCCCAGGGCGAAGCTGGACCCCAAGGTGACCAGGGAAGAGAAGGCCCCGTTGGCGTCCCTGGGGACCCGGTAAGGACCCTGGCTGTTGGGTGGGCAGTGGGGGCTGTGTTCCCAACAAACCAAGTTGGCCAGTATGGGCCCTGGAGGCAGAAAGGCTCCAGCAAGAAGTTTGTCCCTCTCCACCCTGCCTCAGGGTGCCTCCTGCAGGGAATTCCTGGTGGATGAGGTGACCGAGGGCTGGGGCCAGCTGCAGAAGGCTGGGGTGGCAGCCTGGGGTGGGCTGGGCGCAGTATGGGAGGGGGCCTGTTCCTATGGTGCCCCGCGCTCGGCACAGGGCCCAGACCTTCAGGTCAGCAGGACACCGCCCTCCCCAGATCCCTGAACCAAGAGCAAACCTGGGAGGGGCCAGCACCTGGAGGGGGGCAGTGTGGGGTGCAGAGACCGAATGAGAGCTGGGGGGTGGGCTCAGGCGGGGACAGGGTGGTAGCAGGCATCCGGGGGACTGTCCACCGGGCTGTCTGGAGGAGCAGGGGTCCTGGGTGGCGCTCAGAAGCAGACCCCACAGGCCCCTGAGACACCCCCAGTGGAAAAGGAGGCAGGAGACCTCCGTGGAAGAGCGTTCAGTCCCCGGGACCCCGACACGGGGAGCACGTGGGCATGGGAGATGTGTCGTCTGGCGGGGGGGACCTCTCTGCTGCTGCTTGTTGACTGGGTTTGGAACGGGGTGTGCGACCCTGGCTAGAGATAGATTTGGGAGTGTCAGTATATTGAAGGTTCTAGAATCCCCAGGGGGGGATGAGTCCTTCCAGGGAGGGTGCCGGGGAGGGGAAGGATGTGCGAACCCGAGAAGAGAGGAGAGTCTGACCTGGAGGAGCAGGCTGGGTGGGAAGAGGGATTGGGGAGGAGGGCATGAAGGAGGGAAGACAAGATGGCCGCCCTTCAGAGAAGGGGTGACTGCCCCGCCCTCAGAGAACACATGCTCATCGTCACCCAGGTGAACACCTGCCCAGGTATCCCATCATGCAAAGGTGAGGGGACGAGAGGGCAGAGTGGGAGGATGAAAAAGTGAACGGCACAGAGAACACGGCGTTGGAGCACGTCGTTGATATGACCTGAGACCCAGTGAGCAAGTGTGAGGCTGATCGTGTGGGCTTTCTTGGAGGTGGTTGTAGAAGTGAGGAGTGGTCTCACAGACCCACTGCTGTCCCTAGGCCTTGCTCTGGGGCTGCTGGTGGCTTCCAGGCCCCCTTCTTGGTCAGTTGTAAATCTCCCTTGATGCCCCGTGCCAGGGAGCCTGTGAGCCCTCTCAAGCCTGTAGCCTGGCCCTTTGAAGTGAACAATGAAAGAGGGGGTGTCTCGATCTGCAGTCACAGCATACCACAAACTGGGTGGCTTATAGGACAGAAATTTATTCTCTCGCAGTTCTTGAGGCTAAAAGTCCAAATTCAGGGTGATGGCGGGGCCGCGCTCTCTGTCCAGTCTAGGGGAGGATCCTTCCTTGTCTCCCCCAGCTTCTGGTAGCCACAGGCTCCTCTTCTGGTTCCTTGGAGTCTAGATGCGTCTTCACATGGTGTCTTGGCGTCTCTCTCCGTGTCTCTTCTTGAGGGGTTAGGACCTCATGTGAACCTAACTGATAACTTCTGCAAAGACTTTATTTCCAAACAAGGTCACATTCACAGGCACAGGGGTGAGGACTTCAGCACATCTTTTTGGGTAGCACAGTTCAGCCCAGAACACAGGACACAGTTTAGCAGTGGATGGAGCTTGCATGGGGCTGGGACTGGGTGCTGGGAGGCCAGACTCCAGTGGGCTCTTCTTGCTATCCCCCCAGCCTTCCCTGCATTCTTGGCTCTGAGGACCCCACTGCCCTGCCCGCCCCTCCCAGCTAGGGTGAGCACGTAGTGTGTGATTGATTGTCTGTACGGATGGGAGACTCTCTGGTCTAATACCTGTTCATATCACCTTACAGCTGGTTGGGCCTGGACAATTTTTTTTCTTTTTAATATGGGAAAGCTCTGGTATTTCCCACCCCTGAGGCAGGGGAGGAGCCCTGGTGGCGCAGTAGTTAAGAGCTCAGCTGCTAACCAAAAGGTCAGCAGTTCGAATCCTTGGAAACTCTATGGGGCAGTTCTGCTCTGTCCTATAGCATCGTTATGAGTCGGAATCAACTTGACGGCAATGGGTTTGGTTCGGTTTGATTTGAGACCTGTGGGAACATGTGTGTGTTGAATGGAACCCCCAGCCCTGGGCTCTGATCTCTGTCCTTCACCAGACACCCCAGCCCCTGGGGCCCAGTGACAGTGTCTGGGTGGTAGTTACACACTCCTCCACCCCAAGGCTCTCCCCACCTGCTACTGGGAGCACAGAGCAACTCGCCAGGTGCCCACCTCCCCCCAGAGCCAGCTGGTTCCTCCACCTTGAAGAGCGTCAGGTATTCGTGTGCTCTGAGAACTCTTCCTCTGTGTGACCCTTGGTTTTGTGGTGCCCGCTGCTGCCAAGAGCCTACCCGCCCTTGTCCCTTAACCTGGGCCACCAAGCATCAGGCCAGACAAGCATGCGGGTCATCGTTCGGTGTTCTCACACCCCTCCGCTCAAACCACCTGCAGAATAAGGTGTGCTGCTTCACCCAGGATGGGGGACGTGGGGTGGGGACACGGGGTGGGGAGGGTGGGGAGGAGGTGGCTTTTGAGGTGGGCTCAAAGGGTGAGGTGAGGAGGCGTGGGGGCTGGGAAGCACAGAGCTGCAGGTTGGTGGGATGGAGGTGACCTCAGTGGCTGGTGGCTGGAGGGAGTTCTGGAGCGTGGGCATGGGACAGGAACTGGGGAGGGTCTAGAGAGGGTGATCAGAGGCTGAGGAGGCTTGGTCCTTGTCTTCAAGTTTTTTTGGTTACTTTTCTTATGGAGAGAAATTAGGAATTGTAGCTTAAAAAAATATAGTAAGAAGCAGGAGCCATACTATGGCAGAGCAGAGCAGTTTGTGACGGAGGAGCGTTAGAATCACACCTTGGGCCTGTTCCCGGGAGAGGGTGGAGAGGGACCCGGACCTGTTTATGAGATAAATATGGATGCTATTCAGGACAGCCGGGAGAGCTCAATGGAAAACTTTCCTCACACACAATTTCAGGTTAAGATTGTTGAAGCCATCTGCCTGAGGAACGTGTCTGCTTTGCCGGGGCTGGGACCACGTGTGCACAGAGGCGGCATCTGGTGGGCTCTGGGGCTGCAGCCGCCCTGGAACCTGGGCTGCCCGCTAATGAGACCAGCGCGTGACTGTTGCTGGTTCTCCGTCTTCTTGGCAGTAAAAGGGGAATCATGTGTCTCAAATAAAATAAGGCTTAGAAATGCTTTGAGCACTTAGAGACTAATATATGAATAGAAAGGGATCCCACCAGGTTTTTGTTTGTTTCAAATAGAAGAAATACATTCACGTGGCTCAAAATAATTACTAGCTCCAGCAGGAGAAAGACAAAGAGTTTCCTATTCCTTCTCCCTCTCCACCCCCTAGAGGTATTATTTTTTAGTTTCTTATGAATTCTTCCAGAAAAAGTATGATGTCTGTGCATGTGTGAGAGAGTGGCAGTCTATGTCTATTATTTATACAAACTTGTATGGTATTTGTCTTATCTCATTCATCTTGGAGATTTTCCATGTAGTGCTCACAGACTCAGCTCGTTCTTTTTTACAGTTTCATAGTATTCCAATGTGTAAATTTATCAGTTGTATTTATGTTGTCCTCTGCTAACATGCATGGAGATGGTCTTCTGTAATTTGCTTTACAGAAAAATATTGCCATAAATGTCTCTCTGATTGCCTGTCTGCCTATTTGTCTATCTGTCCATCCACTTATCACCTATGTATCTATTTACCTATCTAGCCAACCATTCACCGCCCACTCATCCATCCATCTCTTACCTATTTATCTATCTATTCATCCATTCATCTATCCACCTACCATTGCCTGTCTCTCCATCCATCCACTCATCCATTTGTCCATCCACACACCCGCACATCCATTCATCCATCCTTCCACCCACCCATCATCTATCCAACTTGTCTATATATCTATCTGTCTATCTGTTGTTCGTCTATCAATCAATCTATCTATCTCTACTTATCTGTCTATCCTCTATCCATCTATAATCTATCTTGAAATACTCCCAAGGCTGTGTCCAGAGGATAAATACATAGCAGCAAAATTTCTTGGCCAAGCCCTGTATGTGTGTGTGTGTGTATTGATATTTGTCAAGTAATTCTACAAAAAAAAAAGCCCCAACTTACAATCTCCCAATAGTATAAAAGAGTGACTGCACCCCACATCTTCATCAACACTAGATATGATCGAACTTCAAAAGTACGTTGTTGCTTCTCAGGTGAAGACGCATGTCCTGCCTTGGTTCGTATGACTATTCCCTTTCAGGTTTCCAGGCCCTCGAAACTTTTCTTTGTGTCTGTTCACTCAGCGTGTTCAGTTTTCCAGTGGATTCCGTATGTTCCTCCCATTGATGTGTGGGAGGTTCTTATCCACGCTGAGACATTTTTTTCAAATTTCTCCTCTGTGTTTTTACTTTGTCTGTGGTACTTTCAAAGTGCAGGAAGTTATTACTAGGTCGTTAAATGCATCCATCCTTTCTCTGTGGCTTTTGTTTAGAATCTCTGCTCATTTACCAGATTGAAAGCACATCCACTTATATTTGTTGTATTTTTTTAAACTTTAGTCTTTGATTAGTTTAGAACATATGTTGTTGGGTTATAAGTGAAGTGAAATCTAGCTTGACTTTTCCTGCCAATGGTTAGCCAGTTGTCACAGACAATTTAGTGTGTAAGCCATGTTTCTGCCAGTGGTTAAAATGCACCTTCAGCATGCTCTAAATTTCTTTTCCTGTGTATATCTCTTCTGGAATTACTCTTGGACACCCTTGAGCTCTCTATTTTTCCCGTAATTCCAATGATTGTCGTTATTGTGCCTTTATAGTATGCTTTAATGGAGATCCTGGGTAGTGCAAATGGTTAAACACGCTCAGCTGCTAACTAGAAGGTTGGCAGGTCAAGTTCACCCAGAGGCTCCTTTAAAGAAAGGCCTGGTGATCTACTGCTGAAAAATCAACCGTTGAAAATCCTGTGGAGCACAGCTCTACTCTGACACACATGGGGTTGCCAGGAATTGGGGTTGACTCAATGACAACTGGTAAAATTATGCTTTAATACCAGGCCAGCTGGCCCTGCTTCCCAGTTGCTTTGAGGCTCCCCTGCTCTTTTTGGGCATCCAAGCCTCCAGGTAGTCACACTCAGGGACACGGGAGACTCTGTGATTTTGGGGGTGGTCTAGTTTTAGGGTCAGAACAACCTTTATACCAAATGTTTGGGACTGTGGATTCACTACACACGAGGTCAGATTCTGAGTAAGGGCAACTGTTTTAATTCACTGGTCACCGTAGCAGGAGTGGACCTCTGTCCCTGGGGAGATGTAAGGGACTGTCACAGTTAAAGCCACACTTTTATTTCCAAGCACACTTTGGTGTTGCCACATTAAAAATAACTGTGTACATGGTTTAGGACTGGGATGGGACTTGGCAGGTAGAGTCTGTGCTGGGCTGGCCACCCCCAGGCCTGACCCCCGTGTGCTCCTCTTGGCCGGGGAGGGAGGAATCTGACACGTTCCCGGGAAAGCATGTGTCCCTGACTTCTGATCTTACTGCTTCGGTTCTAATTCTTGGTGCTCCTGGACCTCAGAGCGAGTCTCCACATGATCTGTCCTGGGGTGGGACCAAGCCGACAGAGATGTAGGGTTTAGAATCAGCCCACACAGCCCCACAGCAGGTTGATAGGAGGAGGAGAGTTTCAGAGTCAGTTTTGGGGCTCTGTTGCATCAAATCTGCCAGGCAGCCAAGCCCACCTGAGCTTCCCTATTGTGCCCTATGCCCCTTAAAGTTGGTCTTGTCCAATCTTCAGAGAAGCATAAACCAAAGCAAAATGGTGGCAGGATCCTGGTTCCCAAATACGAATGAAGGAAGATAGATGGAACTGTCTCACCACATGCCAGTGTTCTTGGGACACATGCTGGCTTGAGGAGCAAGTTTGCTCCTGGCTTCTGGAGTAACTTTGCTTCCTTCCCTGCAGCAATGTTTAGAAAGTTGTTTTGAGACATCACTAGTATGGGAGACTAAACACTGAAACCGGCTCTCTACTAAGAGTGGACGTGCTTAGGGACTTGGCTTGTGTTGTGCCTTCTAATAGCACCTGATTGTTTTATGTTTCCTGTTTGCAAAGTAATTAATATTCACTAGGGAAAAAAGAAGACGATCAGTATAAGGGCAAGAAGGAGTCCCACCACCTGCCAGGCTGTAGAGACGCCTGGTGCGGCAGGGTAGGCTGCTTCCTCTGGGTCCCGGCACCCCATGGGAAGCTCATGCCTCCATGGGAACCTGCCAAGTCTCAGAGGCTCTCAGCTTCTGCTTCGGGGAATCCTTGCTTTCCTCCATACCTGTGGCCCAACCCAAGATGCCTGACTCATGGTGCCCCAATGAGATGGGCACTTGTTCACCTGACTCTCCCTGGGAGAGGGGGTCTAGGTAGCTTTGGAGCAGCATTCATCCACCATGCTGTTTCTGCCTCCAGAGCCCAGCCCCCTCCCTTCTGACCCCATTATATGCATGTGTATAACGGCCCCCCCTGACTGCAGACACAACACGCAGTTCAGTTCTGGGGGTCTGCACTAGTGTTTCCATGCATAAAATGTCTTGACAAATGTGTTTTCCCAAGTCCCAAGAAAAAGAAGTTGAGATATCCAGAGAATGGTGGAAAGTATCACAATTCTTCTGTTGTATGTCCAGTCTCTTCCTTGCTTGGCCCCTGCCAGGCCTCACCCTTTCTGTCCTCCCTAATCCATCCATAGGTGCCACCCCTCCCTCCCTGTTTGGGTGCCAGGAGCAGTGGCACCCATGGGGCTGGGCCCAAGGAGGCACTGACCTATCCAGCTGCTCTGTCAGGGCATCTCGGTGAATGCTTGGCCTACAGTTTAGGCCTCTGCCTGCTTTGCTGGGCCATGGTGGTCTTGTGCATTTCCAGACGTGTTGTGGGAGCAGAAGGTGCACATCAGCCAAGGCCCTTGTGCTGCCCATTCTCCTCTGTTTTCCACCCCCACAGACTCCCTTCTATCCTCCTTCTCATGTTCCTAAGGCAGCACCTCAGGGCCCCTGTGAACTCCAAGAAGGGAGGCTGCTGACTCACCTCTCGTGGACTGGTACAAAGCACTGGATTAAGTGTGCATATTCACCATTGCGTGTTAAAGCACCCAGTGCAGGGGTGTGCTGGCAGAGATGACATGCTGAGTCAGGGTGGATGCAGCAGTACACTAGTCAGGGCAGGGCAGCAGTACACTAGTCGGGGCAGCAGTACACTAGTCAGAGCAGGGCAGCAGTACACTAGTCGGGGCAGCAGTACACTAGTCGGGGCAGAGGTACACTAGTCGGGGCAGCAGTACACTAGTCAGGGCAGGGCAGCAGTACACTAGTCGGGGCAGCGGTACACTAGTCGGGGCAGCGG